CCCCCCCCCCCCCCCAAGCTTGTGGCTTTAAAGCATAAAACCCAGGTGGACATATCTCCAAGAAGGGAACTCTCTCCTTCTGCCCTACCCAGGCCTCAGTTTTACATGCCAGGTTGGTTGCCTTATCCACAATTAAATCATGGTCTTATTACATAACAGTTTGGCATTCCATAATGAAGCCCAGGGCCATAAAGAATCTGAAGCCATGACCTTGGGGATGAATCCTGAGAGTGGGAGGCCAGGGCAGGTTTTAACCACTGGCCCCCACTATCCACCTGAGTGGCCAGTCCTCAGCTTCCCACCATATCCCCTTCTTCCTGCATTATGATCTTAATGGGACTACCTGTCCTCTCTTTTACCCTTTGGTTCCTCCCACCCTCACTACTCCCCTTCCAGGTCATAGAGAGCATCCAGTTATCTTATCCTCACGCTTAGTCCTTATATAGTTTACCTTTCTCTTTTTGGAATCTTTAAATATGTTTTGCATCTACTGTTATGGAATTATCACTGATTTACAACACTTGAAATGAAGCCCATAATCCTCAACTGCAATTATACTCCCAGCTACATGTTTGTCTCTCCTTAAAACTTTTAAATCAGACTAATTAGCCATAAACAGTACTGCTGCAACACAATTTCCCAACTGTAGATTTTAATATAACAATTTAAAATAAATTATTTTTAGATGTTTATAAAATACATTGAGTGCTTGATTCATGCAATTATTTTAAGTATGGAGATGACTCACTTGAATTTGGACTTTAAAAAAGTTCCTTATCAAAGCCTCTTGAGTAAAGTTAGCAGTTGTAGTGTAATAAGAGCTGTCCTTTTATAGATTGCCAAAGTACTAAAACAAAGGGAAATAAAAAGCAAAAAGCAAAGAAAGGAACAGGCAGTAAGAAATGGAGACCCTCAATGTTCTGTATTGGGACTGGTCTTTTTAATGTGTTCATAGATTATCTTAATTTAGGAGTAAAATGGCCAAGTCTGCAGATAATATCAAACCATTCAGGATGATGAAAACCAAAAGTGATTATGAAGAGCTTGAGAAAGATCTCTTTAAACTGGCTGAATGGTCAAGGAAATGGCAAATATGATTTAATTTAAACAAGTGGAAAGTGATGGAACTTGGGGGAAAACACCACCCCCACCACATATACACAGAGTTACAGCATGAACTGTCTATTACTAACCAAAGAAAAGGGTCATAGTAGATAATTCTAGCAGATGTGCAATAAATGTGAAAAAGGTAAGTTCCATACTAGTGATCATTAGGAAAAGAATGATGAATCAAAGAAACAACACTGTCATGTCTTTATATAAATTTTCTGGTATATCATCTGTGTCTGAAGTATTTGCTACAATTCTGGTTGCTACATTTGAAAAAGGATATAATAGATCTGGAAAAAGTTCAGAAAAGGACAACCAAAATGAACAGCAACTCAAGCATGAGAAAGAATTAGAAAGTTTGGGACTCTTTAGCTGAGAAAAAGAGTGATTGAGAAGAAACATAATGAAGATATATAAAATGATGCAAGACATGAGGGAAATCAATAGGGAGAGGTTTTTCGTCTCTCAAGATACTAGGAAACTGACTGGAAGGAAATGTCAAGCAGACAAAAGAAAGCATTTATTTCCATCAAATCATTTTGATTCCTAGTTACCACTTCGATAGATTTTCTCCATTAAACTAGCTTGTATGAGTTTAAAATTAAGAAGATGGTCTAACTTAGTTTCAATCTTACTTCCATTTGTAGGAGAACAGTAGCAGGAGTGAGGTGTATCTCTATATTCTGTCTATGAGTACCTGAGACTGGTTAGCTTTATGAAAAACAAATTGTTGAACTACTAAGAGCTTTGGTTAGATCCAGCAGACAATTCATATATTCTGTGTGGAATGAAACTTTCTTTTTAATCCAAAGTACATCATCAAAAAAGCAGTGAGTCATTTAGAGAATCCAGGCATGTTAAGGAAATCCTATTTAAACTCACCTTGGATGGTGTGAAAAAAAGTAGGGTTGCACTTGATTTATGCTTGGATGAGGGGCTACCAAGAAATCCAGAGCTATTAACTAGACTGGGTAGTTGGGGGAAAAAAATCTTCCATTTTGCCACCAAGCGGGGCGGGGCGGGGCGGG